AATCATAAGTTATAAAATTAAAACTTATTCATATCATATTTTATCTTGTTTACAACCATTAACAAAATAATCTTACAGATATTTAGTTATTTAGTTTAGTTTGAGTTTTATGAGTTTAGTTCTCAATTCACATTTAAGTAAATTTTAGTTTTAAAAAAATTCTAAGAAATCTCTCTTGTAAAATAGATCTTGATTAAGATCTATTATTTTGTCTTGTTAATAAACTGAATATTACATCTGTCTTGAAATTATATTTTGAAATTGGATTATATTCTAACTAGTCACAACAAGAATACTATTATTACTTACCTTTAGATAAATAATAGTATTTAGATTCTTATTAATAAATCTTTTAAAAACTCTTCCAAACATTGCTTTAAGCATGTGATTACTTTTATCATGTGCTTTTATAATATTAGGTTTAATACTCACTCTCAGAACAAAACTCACATCAAAAAGATAATAATATTAAATTTTAAATAAATATTTAAAGAGATATTTTTATTTAAGTATAATTTCTAAAAAAAATAATAATAAATATATTTTTTGTTTATATTTTGATAAGAAATTATTTAAAAATCATGAAAATTTATAAATATATTTAAAATATTATTATAATAAATTATAACTAGTTATAATAAATTATAGTAAATTATGGTAAGCTATAATAAGTTATAGCAAGCTATGATAAGTTATAATAAGTTGTGACAAGTTACAATAAGTTGTGACTTATAATAAGTTGTGACAAGTTGCAACATAGTAATTACGACTACCATCTTTAGTTCAATAGCCCTCTTCGCGAGTTTCTAAAAACTCGTTATAGTGGATCAAGCCCCTGAAGAGTTTTGTATACATTTTCCCCAGTCAGATATACAGACGTAGTAGAGCACTATATTAATACATTGATCTTTGCGATTTAATTGGTTTACCGGAAGCTTTGAATCAGGTGATCATTGGAAACGATTACGGCTAGAGGGTCCGTTTAAGGTTATATCGCGCAAATTATTATATATGCAAGGAACATTCTTTGTTAAAGCAAGTAGTTTCATAATAATTAAACTGAATCGTTTAAAATGCAACACTAATCTTTTATAATAAATTTAATAAAGACGAGAAAGACGAGAAGTAATTATTTGTATTAAAAATAACTTCTATTCCATATCCTCTTCATCCTCTTCTACCATTTCACCTTCTCCATCATCGTACTCAACCTCGCCCTCTTCGTCGTCTTTAATATCGAATATGAGCATTTTCCTAGCATCATCACTAAGCACAAAAATTTCGCGATTTGTCGCAATTCTTGAAGGTCGAAATTGTTTGATTATGCGTGATTTCTGAAATTGGACTTTGGGACACTCGTTTATATCCTAAATAATATGGTAATTGAGCTAGAGACAACATACTTAATAACTAAAGAAAAATAGAGTTTACAACACTTACAAACTTATTCAAAGTATGTTCCACAATGTTGTGTACATTTTCCAGTTTGTTATAGTCTAGCTCGATGTAATTTAACTCTGATAACGAATATATTTCGCCAGCTTTTGCAGAGTCAGTGTTCAACACTACAAAACATGAAAAACTGATGCTACTATATAATATACAATGAATAATACTTACAATCTTCATTAATTGTGTTTGTTAGCATTAGCAATCTTTCGTCTTTAAGAAATTGAAGATCTAATAAAGCCATGTTATCATCATCTGAGCCACTCTCAGTCTTGAGTTGTAAACATGAGACTTCACATATATTTTGTGCATGTGAGTCTTGGTTAGCTTGATGCTTATATAATGAAATGAAGGAAAATCTCACTACAAATACTTAAATATATGGTATAAATTTAGTGAAACTGTAATGTCGAAAAATGAATTCTAATGAACTTCTTTAGTACATACGAGTATGATATTCAGTATTAAAGTACGACTGTGGAAGAAAGAAAGCAACGTAATGAAATATATTCGATTTCTAGATAGTTAAAGATTAAAATTAATTATAATGAAATATGCAGGATTTTTATGTAATGAATTGTTGACACACCTTTACAACAATTCGACCGTCAATCAAAAATTTCGCTGATAATGGATTTTCTTGTGCGCTCCATTCTTTAAAGTCAGCTACTTCATCGTTTTCAAACTCTACAATCACAACTGGTTTGTTTGCTACAACGGATCTTGCCACATTATTAGCTGTTGAAGCGTAGAGAGTTGCACATTTTTCGGACAATGTGTCAATATACCAACGAACAACATTTAAATGATTATTTTTCTCGTTTTCTGATTTGATCCGTGTAAAATCATATGGATATGTGGAAAAACCAGAACTTCCCGAACTATCTAAAAATTCAAATCAATTAGACAAAGCATGATATTTATAATTATCAAATCAGAAGAAATTTATCTAACCAAAAAGATCAGGAGTTTTTGTTGTACGAGAATTTGGTATGGGTGATATTGAAGCTTCTGAAGGAAAATCATTTTCTGACTGTTGTACACTATTCGATGATTCTACAAAGAACTCATCAAGAACTCCTTTGTCCAGTGAATTGCGTAAATATGCAGAAACCTTTTTAATGTCACTGAATATCGCGCATTCTGAATTAGGGCCTCCATGTTCAAGAGATATTAAATTGTCAAATACTATAAAAAGAAATATTTTATTATTATTATGATTTATCGTTTCTAAATTGTGAAATAAGAATACATGCCTGTTTGAAGCCATTCTTGAAATTCCATGAAATTCTGATATTCATTATCAATGGTTGACAGCAAATCTTCCAATCTTCCAATTAAATACCCGAGTAGAATGACACAGGAGTGAACGAATTGTTCTTTAAGCCCAAGTTGTTCGAACTTTTGAGGCCTTAAAATAATCATATATATGTAAACATTTAACGTTTAAACACAAAAACATTAATTACTGTGTTTATAAAATTTACCATTTACTATAACCAACAAGCGCCGTTATCTGTAAAAGCAATCTTTCACAGCAAGGTCGAACATAGTCATGAACAAATTCTCTTATTTGCTCCAGACTTTTCAATCCTTTATTTTCCCAATCTTTTAATCCCTAGAAAAATTATTACTATAATAAAATCAACTAAATAAAGAGATAAAAATAAAAATAAAACATACGCGTTTCGTTAGACGACTTTCAATATATTCACTCATGGCAACACTTGGTCTTCCTGTAGCTAATAATCTGACGAATTCGGCTCTTAATGTAGTATTTACTGAACATATTAACGAAATATTAAGAAAACTTCTTTTAATAAAAATTTTACGATGGATAAACTTTGAACTGTTAAAAACAAGACTTACCGTCGTGAGTTTGCAACACTTCTTGAAAAGGTTCAGTATAGGCTTTTGCAGAATCTTTCATATGATTATATTGCAATTCCATTTGCTTGACGCCTTCTACAATATAATTTATTAAGAATCTGATAATTGTATATCTCTGAGAGAGAATGCGAATCTCAGGTTTATGAGTATGAAGCAATCCGGTGCCGAAAGTCAATTCAATATAACGTTTTCGCTTTTTTTCAGTTATTGTGGATGGTGAATCACTTTCGTCTTCGGAAAGGATCAAAAGGGCTAAGAGTGATAGATCAGAAGATACTGAAGCACTAAGAATTTTCGCGTTCTTTATATTATAAAAGCAATATAGATTATTAATATTATGAGCATATTAGAATTATATTAATACAAGCTATCGATAAATTTAATTATTAAATAATCAACATACTACTGAAATACCCAAACCATACCCGCGATTTGGTAAACTCAGTTAAAGAAATTGATTCGAGATTATAGATTCCGTACACACTTTATTAATAACAAAAATAAAATTAATGCAAATTGCAAACAATACTTGATAAAATGAAAGATTACTATGCGTGTACCTTAGATGCAAATTACCATCTGTATCACCAGCAATAAGCAAATCAATTGATTTACTAATCTCATCTTCAGTATCTTCGTCATCATCAACCTCACTCGGATATCCCAATATTTTACTATCAATTGATTATATAAGTTACGCGGTAATTAAATTTATGTCAAAAAATCAATTGAGAGCACCTAATTCACTCACCTAATTTTAGAGCCTGGGATGGTGCTTAAATGTGGCATGTATTTCTCTCCAGGATAAGTACTCAAATAATTAGGATCCTGAATTAACAGGATTAATAGTTATTTCTCAGAAACCAAGTCTTGACGTATTCAGTTACCTGGTGTCGGGAAAGGGGTAATGCTTCTTGCCCATTATTTTCATCTTTATCGTCTAACCAAGTAAGAAAATTTATTCCTGCTACACTATCATTGTTATTATTTGCTGATTGTGATAACGGAGAAGAAGGGGACGGTACAGATCTTTGCGATAATTCATGTATCATTTCACTGGTGTCAACATTAAAAAGTCGAACTACACCACTCGAGTATCCAATGGCGAGAACTTTACCTAAAGAAT